TTCCTCTGTAGTTTTCACACTCTCCATGGTATCCCTTCTCTCTTTACAATGATGCCATCTCTCTAATCCGACGGGACTTTGTTTTCCTCCCAGATAGCCTGCTTGAGCCTGCATGTTGGCGGAGGTTTCGGTGTCTGCCTTGAGGGCTTCAACCTTGTATCTCATCCTGCCCTTCTGCCTTACCTCCTCTCAATGCCTTAATAGCCTTCCCAACTTTCATCTTGGTGTTACCCATGATGTCTTCTAAAATGTCTGCCATAAACTATGGCTCTGATTAGCTAGCTGCGTCATTTAGGCCCTCAGGATTTCTATTTTTCAGCCGTTCGATATCACTTTCCTGGTAATTAATTGTTCTTCATCTAGGCCTGTCAACCCTTTTCTGCTTTCAGCGTCTCGGCCTGTTTGTCATCTGGTCGCTCCATGCTATTTCAGTTTTTATCAGTGCAAACACTTGCATCTATCCATTTGTAATCTAATAAAGAAATGGCAGCAATCTGCATGTTCCTTTTGGGGGACTGGATGACTTTGAGCACCAGATGCTGATGTTCCCCCAGAGTCGTTACCGTGATTGAGCCGATCCTTAACTGTCTCCAATAAAGACGCACACTTCCTCACACACACACACACACACACACACACACACACACACACACACACACCGCCTCCCCTCGCACTCTCTGTTCTCTGTGTGAGGCAGGATTAACCTGCTGGTAGCGGAGTAAATCCAGCTGCCTCCACCTCTCTGTCTCTGTGTCTGAGGAGGCCTGGTTATCCCTTCACACAAGCTCGCTGTTCAAAGGGGCGGCCGTCGGGGATTAATGACGTGTTAAAGGGGTGAGCATGGGGGATTTAGACACAGCTTGCTGTAAGGACAGGAGATTTAAGTACACCGACCAGTGGTTAGTGCTCACTGAAGTATAATTAGTTAGACACTGTACCACCAACACACACACACACACACACACACACACACACAGACAATGACAGACAGGTGCGATATTATTATTCTATATACCCAGAGGAGGGCGGGGTGGTGAAAGGACAATTCCACTGAGCTTGTCTTATAGTAAATACACCTCTGTAACTCTGCTGACCTATGGGACAACAGCTTAAGCCTGCAAGATCATTGTTACATCAAGAAGAGTGTCCACATTTTGAAGTCAGTTGTGAATGTGTTCTCTGTTTTTATCTTTTTAATTTATTTTGAAAGGGTTTGTTTTTTCAGTCTTATGCTATAATTATTGTAAAGCATTGTGTTTGTGTATATGTTGAGCTATATCAATAAACTTGCTTTGTCTTACCCTGACATGTGTCTGTGAATTCTATTCCTTGGATATTCAAAGTTTATTTGGCACGTGGATGATGGAGGTGACATTTAAAACTTGTTAGATGTATTTGATTAACCAACAGTATGTGAAAACAACCTCTATAGTGATAGGGTAAGTGCAAAGCGCAGGTTGTTTATGCTTGTGATGGAGACATAGTATGTACTTGTTCATTAAAACTACAGTGTGCATGCAGTTTTTTTCACATATGTAAAACAGTTGAGTGCGCTGTTAAATACCACTGCATAGTTATGTGGCATGATGGCTAAGTATGTCATGATCAGGTAGTGTTGGTGATCATTGTGATGGGAACAACAAGAAAACTAAAAAGCCTAACTATCTTATGAAACTAAATGCAGCTTGGGAGAGAATTAAACTAAAGTACAAAAAAGACATGGTGGTCAGGATGGGGAGTGTGTGTACGTTATTCAACTTCCCTAACCTTGACATAATGCCGTTAAAAATATTGTAGAAAGCAAGAATTTTAAAAACTTAATGTAATCTGGAGTTTTGCAGAATTGTCTTGTCTGGTGATAGAGTTGCCCAGAGTTGCTCATAGAGTAGAGGAATCCTGTATCAAATTGGAGCTAATCGGCATTGTTCGCTTGCTTTTTACAAAAAGGATTTCCACAGACCTCCAAGTGTCTTGTGGAACATTAAGTGGCTGCAGCTAGCATACTGTAACCTTGGTTACAGCAAAATCTGTGGATACACTTAATATGTTTAGTACAGCAACAAACTTGCATTTTCGTCATACTGTCATATTCCCTTGTTATAAACTTGTGTGTCCAGATGAGCTGCGCAAAATCTGATTAATTGGCTACATTAACCGCTACTAACACTAACACGGTCCTGGGCCATGCACATCCCATGCCAGTAAGTGATATGCCATAACACACCCAGTTCTCTGACCACCCTGTCAGCTGTCAAGTTGCATTGTGGGTAATGTAGTTGCCTGCTTTTGACAGGGAAGGACAACGCGCACTTACATGAGTGAAACGCTAAATTGGAGGAGTACTCTTTTAAAGCCTGACAGAGGGTAAATGCTATGACCAGTGGGCTGCGTGTGTGTGTGTGAGTGCATGATGTTGAAGTTTGTAATAAGGGAGTATAATATTAGAGATAAGTAAATACTGTAGGTAGTGATGTGTGCGTGGTGTGTGTGTGTGTGTGAGTGAGAAGTTAAGGAAGGAGAACTGGAAAGAGATAGCTGCTGCGTGAGTAAGAGACACATGTAGCCCACAGGTGCTGATAGCTAGTCGGGATCAGTGCACTGAGCAATTGCCCCCCTACGCCCGATAAGCCCCCCCCCCCCCCCCCCCCCCCCTTCACACACACACACACACACACACTCACATCCAGCTTTGCTACCGATCTATCCTCAAAATCTGCTCCTGTGCAATCTCCCGTGCATCAGCTGCCAAATGAAGTTCCTCTTTAGAAAAAAAAACTTGGCTGTCGAACCGTCTGAGGCATCATGGCTGGCGGCAAAGGCAGCCCTTGTATTGAAGCCAATAATCCAGCGTCAGGGCTTCAGGTGCGCAGAGGGATGTGATTGACAGGGCTCGATATGAGGCCCTCGCCTCACTTGACATTTGGGTTTCATAAGGTCTGGAACAAAAGGCAGGGGCAAAATAATCAGAGAGGGGCGCAGGCAAATAAATCTGTTTATTCCTCCTCACCTGCCCCCCTCCCTCACCTCAGCACCTCCTCTGCTCGCCCACATCACAGCTCAACCCTTGAAGGGGAAAGAGGGAGGGCACGATATTACCTTTTCTGAGCCTTAGTGGATTGACGCACCACGACAGCAGGTCACTTTAGGCCCTGTGCTTACCTGAGATATTAGTTTGTATGTGTGGTAGACAGAGATGTGTATTTGAATGGATGCGGCTGTGTGTATGTGTGCACAGTCCCGTAGGCCTATGTATGAGGGAGAGCCAGAGACAACAGGAAAGACAGAGAGACAGACTGACTACAGTAGTGTCATATTGTGGATAACCATCGGTACATCTGTGTGTGTGTTTTGAGCAAGACAAAATAAAAGAAGTAATATTTAACAATGACAGAACTCTTTTATCATGTTATAGTAGCGCAGCAGCTTTAAGATACAATTAGGCACACGTATTATAACAGATCTGATCCTAACTGTAACTATAAGAAGTGACAACAAATTCAGAGAGAAGAAATACTAACTGTAATGCAGATGAAGATGATTAAGATTATTTTCAGTTAGTGCAGCTAAATGGCCGAACCCAGTGGTTAAGCAAACTGCTGACCGAACAACAGTGTGTGTCATATCCACACTAAACATCTTGCTATTTGCAGGTTACTTTGGCGCTGGATCCATGCAGTGTGGCTGGGTTGCAGCTGGCAGTTTAATTTTAACTTGCTTGCTCGCTAAAGTTATTGCTAGCAAAATACTATCTGTGAATCTGAGTGCATAATCAAAGTGGTCCGACGACGCATTTCAAGCTGGGTCAGTTTAGCTCTTATCCCGGCTCTCTTCTGCCTCCTGCGGTGGCATTTGGTCCGGCTCGTCTGGCTAGGTTGTTGAAAGATACAGCAGGTCCTCTCAAGGTCTGTTGCACTTAATCCAGTTGCCCACAGAGTGCGAGCGCGAGTAGCAGGATGCTGGCTGCAGTTCAGTTATCGGCCACCAGTGTCATAAGTGTTTTCTGAAAGTTAGAACCTTTAAAACAGCTATTAACATTAATGGGATTTACAAATAATGCATCAATAATCATAATATAATATACATTATTATTAAATTTACCATTCTGGATAGTGAGTATTTAAATCTTTGGTATGTTTTGTAACAGTAACATTGTTAATGGAGAACCTTTTAAGAGAGTATTTCTACTGTGTATTTCTACTTTTACTTAAGCAAAATATCTGAGTACTTCTTCCACCACTGTCAAACTGCAGGTGCATCAGTGAAAAAAATAGAAAAGGTCTTCATGTCATGAGGAACATTATGAAAATATGTTCCAGCACTTGTCTTCAAAATAGAATGAAGGGGGTTGGGGAAATGCTAATGAGCATGCAGCCTAATAAAACCCACCTTCGTAGCCGTAATAATAATTGAAATTGAAGTCCATTAGGCCTAAGTGTTTACAATAGTTTGTCAACCGACCCCTATATGATTTACATCCTATACAAGCAGGCAGAGGTTCCAGCTCAATGGGGATTTAATTGCAGGGTTGTAAGTGCAATCTGTGGACACAACAGCAGACTGTTTTAATAGCCAATTTAATTAAAAAATGAGACACCTAGGGGCCATATGTTGGCTTCTGCCTGGAAGTCTCTATAAAAAAAACACAAGTCAACAGATAGTTTCCAGAAGATGTGACATCTTTTAGTACCAGACCAAGCCCCCACGTGGGGAGCCTCCATAAAGCGCATCCTTTTGGAGGTGATTGGACAACATATCGATGATTGGCAGGAGGATAGAGCGCAGTGTGTACACTTGTCTATCGCTATTGGCTGTCTTTAATGGCCGCTCCTCCTTCAGACCACACACCATTGGCTTTGAGAGGTTCGCGGAGGAGCCGGGAAGTTGTAGTTCTTTACAGCAGACGCACATCTGTAGTGCTTACTATCGACTGAAATGAATTAAACTACACATCCCGACGTCACGGTACGGGCTCTAATAATTGTTGTGAATATGTAATTGCGCTCGTGTGACTGGTTGCTTCTAAATTTGGCTTGGCAGGGGCAGGCGGCTACAGTCGGTGAGGTGGTCGCTCCGCCGGTGCTGTGTGAGGGTGAGAAGAGGGAGGCTGTAGGAAATTAACCGATAAATGCGTGACGACGGGACGCCGTGGAGAAGCTCACTCGCGGACAAGCAGGGTCATGATGTGCCAGAAGTCGATGCTTTGTAGGGAAAATAAGAGAAAATAGTGGATTCGTTGTTAGTTCAGAGGGAAAATATCAAGCTTCGTGCGCATAGAATAACGTGCTGGAGATCTTGGAGAAGACTGAGGCAACTCCTGCTTTGATGATCACACTGAATGGACTTTTAAAATACTATCTAAAAGAATGACGGCCAAGCAAAGGTCCGGGGATGTTTCCTCTCTTCACGGAACCTGCACATAGCCTGCAAACCAGCCACTGACTAACCTTTTACGCACGGAGAAAGATCCGTGCTCAACACATTTTGTTTTCGTATTTATGTGGATGAACTTTGCAATACATTTTAATGATTCGAGATCTGAGCAAGATGTACCCCCCGGCACGGCACCCGGTAAGTAGAGAGCAGATGCAGCCAAAGCAGTATGTCAAAACAGCGCAGATGAACAGCCGCGCGCCTGATGCGTAATCAGTTTAGATCAAGTTTCCGTGCCACCGCGCGCTCGCACGGACAATTGCGCTCATTGTCAAACTGCTGCAGCTGCATGTGTGTCTGTGAGTGTGCGTGGGTGAACGTGTAAGGAGTCTGAGTAAAACCAAAAGGCCATCTGTATCACAGAGGCCTTTTGTCATCTACGGTCTTGGCTGTGTGTGTGTGTGTGTGTGTGTCGTGATACTGAACTTTGGTGGCTCAGTTCTTCCTCTCTCCTATCCCTACACGCTGTTTGGTTTGGATTGAGGTCCCCCACCAGCCGGGACAGCCGTTAAAGTTCACTGTCACCGAGTCCTGCGACCGGATCAAGGAGGAGTTTCACTTCCTCCAAGCCCAGTATCACAGGTAAGACTTTGGATGGAGTATGACATTAACTCTGCATGGAAACATCTGTTCATCAGCAAAATAGTGACCACAATACTGATGCCAGTTTATGCACTGGGTTGAGGAGTGATTGTGTGTTACTGTGGCTCCATAGTTTAAAGCAATGGTTAATCGATTATTTATTGTAATGGATTTCTTTCACAATTAGCTTTTTTTATACAGGTCAAACAATTACATTGAGAAAACAATCTAAAGATTAAACGATAATTGTAGCTGAAACTCGAATTCCAAGATTATGTGAGAAAAATAATTTCTGTGATGTCAACCTCCCTTGCACTGGTCATGAATCATACAGTATGACCAACATTTTGGGGGGAAATGCATGATGCAATGACATGAAATACATGACACAAACTTCTTTTTTGTTAAGGATTTAATTGAGAAATAAAATATTCTTAGTTTAAATTAAATAGCCATCTGGAGAGCCCATGAAATTGTTCTCCTCAGACCCTCCATAGAGCTGCTGGTAGATTTGTTTCAGGTCCATCTATCACTGGTGGCTAACCACAGGTAAACCCCATCAACCTTGGTATGCACGTCTCTCTCTGCAAGCTCAAATGGTGTGAAATACTTTTTTACCCGACATGATGAAGTGTGAAATACATTGCTGGGGGGCAGAACCATAAGTATGATACCAATGCATAATAATCGCCCACCTCTGGCCACCTTGTAATTATTGCCCAATCACCTAGTGGGATGAACCAGCGGTCCAGTTTGCTGGCCAAACCTAGATCTGAATGAGCTGAACCAAGGATAGTGTCTGCTGCATGTGTAATACAGTGATCAAACTGCTGCATATGCGTGAAATCCTATCTGCAGGGAGACACTGATTTGGTAAAAAAGGAAGTAAGGGTTGTTCTGATACGTGCGCTGAATCTATATCATTTTGTTTGGATATTTTTTGTTTTTATTTAGAAGAAAGTTAAAGGTCAAACACATTTGTCAACGTAATTATCCAATTTCCTGTCACTTGATATCATTTAAAATAACAGATGCAAAGCTTATTTACATTCACATTGTGTAAAAACCTGCCTCTCCAGCTTTGTTGATTTTTACCTTTTTACTTAATGTGAACAACTACATAATTTCAGTGTTTGTTGAGTACATTCTCCAACCTTCTGGGTGGATGAAACCAAATGGACACTGTCCAAAATGCATCATCATCAAGCTTAAATTAAGGCATTTGTGTAATCAGCTGGCATATGTATTAAAATCTCTTTAATACATATGCCAGCTGATTACACAAATTACATTTCAGTAACATGCAAAAGTATCTCTATTTGTTCGGATTTGGCATGTCGGTGTCCTAACTTTACCGGCGACATTGTAAACCTGCCAATAAAATGCATGTACAGAAAGCATGTAGAAATAATGTGGAGGTTTTCCAGTAACAGTCAACATTTAAAAGAGTTAAGCTTTTGTGTAACCACAGTTGTAAAATGGATCCTCATTATATGGCTGCTTTTTGTTGATGGTGCAGTTTTGGCATCCACTCACACTGTAAGAATATATGATGAGGTTTGTGTGGTCGTCTATTGATCCATTAATTACTGCTCTGTACCTGCTGAGTAAGTGTCTGTGTCTGCAGGGGAAACTGGTGTGATCCAAGCAGCTCTTTTTTCTATCTTTCTTTGTTGAACTCAAATTTAGAAATGCAAATATAAACTAACAGGATGTAGTCACTTGCAGGCTCAGTATTCTGAGATATCTCCAATTTCAATTTTGGAAGTTTCATGTGACAAAACATGTAAGGGATCTTTCAGAGCATTCTAATTTAAAGTCATAAATTATTTCAGGTGGGTATTTTTTGTTTAGCTTGTATTAGTATTAGTATTTTGGGTTGCTGTGTGTGTTGATCATGACATATACACTAACATAACATTTTCCTTTTGCCTCACAGTCTGAAATTGGAGTGTGAGAAACTGGCCAGTGAGAAAACTGAGATGCAGAGACACTATGTCATGGTGAGTCTCTTTGACTGTGTGTGTGTGTGTGTATGTGTGTTCACATGAATCCATTAGTATGTTTGGTGTGTGCAAAATGAGGAACAGAGAAAACCTTTTTAGACTTTGCTTTGATCTTTGTTTTTTTCAGTACTACGAAATGTCATACGGGCTCAACATCGAGATGCACAAGCAGGTAGGAAACGTTTTTTACTCAAATGTTGAAAAGATGAAGAACTGATTCAAACCACATTGTAGTAGGTGTCAAAAGCATGCGGATTAACATCAACGTGAGTTTTTAGGTTTTAAATTTTGAAATCTGTAGTTGCTGTTGAATTCTCAATATTTATACCAGCCAAAGTCCAGTGAATAAAGAGATAAGCTATTTATCACCACCAGTACTACAAGGTTATCAGTAGGAAGGTCAAACTGCAGTTAGTTGATGGCAGGTTTGGATTTAACACTGAGGTATCTCTAGGCCCCCACGATTTGTACAAACTGGTGTTAATAGTTTTGCTAAATTCTTCAAGAATACATACGTTTTAATTGTTGTTACCTCCTTATAATTATCTCTTCACTTTTCTTTGGTCAGCAAATTCCCTGCAGTTATATTCTAGTGTGTTAGGCCCCGTTTGTGCCTGTCATGTAATACCGAGCTACAGAGCTAAGCATCTGGTTTAATTTCCACCCAGTGATCAGTGAAAAACCCAAAAGGTTTACTTAGTTACACATACCGCTTTTTTGAAGGTCTTTCCAGGATCCTCAAAGCCTCTTCTAAACATTATTCTGTTCATGTTAAATAAGATTTAACATGCAGCAAACATCTCTCTTTCCTAATACAAAGAAAGATAGTAGGTGGAAAATGCTTAATTTGTACAACATGAACCAAAAACAAAAAATATATTATCAGTATTGGAACATATGTTTCTTTATATTCTTTTATATTTTCAAACAAAATAGTACATATTTAGAGTCATTTCTGGATATCTGTATCAGGAAACACAGTCGAAACTTGAGAATCGGGTTTAAAAGTGTATTTTTTTTCATCCAGAGAATTAGAAGAGTCAGATTCTGGAAATACCTTCAGCACAGTGGTACACTTTATTAAACAACCTTCTGGGTTTTTCAAAGATCACCAGGTAATTATTTTTAGGAAATCTGGATGCTTAGCTGTGACTTGAATGCATTGATAAAACATGAGAGGCACAAACTCGGAATAGTGTTAAAGGAAAAGAATCCCAGAACATATATTAATGTAAAGGTGTTGCATTTCATAAGAGAAATGTGATATATTTACAGTGTAAAAAAGCAGCAGGTTGGCTGCCTTGTGAAGCTGAGTAGTGATTCCACGTGTGAATAATGATTTCATCAGTTTAATTGAACTAGAAAATGGGCTGAAAAATGACTCGAGTGAACGAGGATTTGGCCTTTAACGAGCCTTTACATTACTGCTGCCTTTTTTGAAACACGGCAGATCATTAGCATAAATGTCTGCGTTAACCACACATCATCTGCCAGGCTAAATGGGCCACAGCTAACTACACATTCATTTCCAGAGAAATGGTGTGTGCGCGTGCGCGAATGCGTGTGTTTGTGAGTATGAGAGGAAGTGATAAATGCTTGGCCTTTGTCTTGCTGTGTGTGTGATTTTCTGTTTGTGTATATCTACACTGTGTGTTTACTTTGCTGTATCTGTGTGTGTTTGTAGTCACTTGTGTGTGTGTGTGTGTGTGGTGGGTGTCTGTAGAACAGTCTGCATGTATACTGTACATGTTTACTTAGTGTGTGCTTGAGTGTGTGTGTTTGCCTGGATGCGCACTGTAGTTGTTTATTCAGTTGTGTGTGTACTATTTGCCCCCGTTATGTGTGTTTGTGTGTGACTGTGCATTTGCTTATATATTGTTGGCGTTTACTTGGGCATGTGTGTTGGTGTTTGTGGTTTTTCTGTTGTAGTGTGTGAATGTGTGTGTGAATGTGTGTGTTTCTGTGTGTGAATGTTGCACACACATACAGCTTTGTACTGACACACTAAGCAGACTTGTCTGATGAAATACTGGGCATCTACTATAAATCCTGCTGTCTCCTGCTGTTTGTCTGTGTGTGTTTGTTTATGCATGTGTGCGTGTGCGAGAGAGTGCTTATTGGGGCAAAGGTAGAAAAAATAAAAAGAGGTAAAATATGGCCTGTGGCTCTGTGTTGTGCCCAATGATTTCTGTTAGGCAACAGTTTTGAATCCCTAATTTCTGTCTTTGAGTGCATGTTTTGTGTGTGTGTGTGTGTGTGTGTATGTGTATGAAGGTTTTTGAAGCAAATTATTTTCATGTGCAGGCTGTGTTTGTGTGCACCTCTACTCCAAACGTGCATGGGCGTTAATGTGTGTCTTCTATCTTTTACGCCATTTGATATGACGAAACGACTTGTGTGACATGTTGAGTGGATGGAGAGATTGCAGGGTGGAGGATGGGGGTGGGGGTGTTTTTTTCTGGGGAGGGGGGTGTTAAGCCTCACTCCCATTACGGCAGTCAGCCTCGGCTACCAAGCAAATTGCTAATATTGCTTGTTTAGCATTTTCTAAGGGTAATAAGCCCATTGATTTTTGGCTCTGCTCTCTGTTTTATTTACACAGAAGGGCTCTGGTGCCCTCGTTAAAGAGAAATTGACTCTTAGATGGAGGAGAGGACGGGCGGGTAGGCGGAAAGGAGGGTACGAGGGGTGTAGAGCATGGGACTGAGCTGCCAGAGGACAGCTAATCAATTGCAAATTAGCGAGGCTGAAAGAGAAATAAAGCAAGCGAAGGATGGGGAGAAAAAGGGAAGGAGGAGGGTGGAGAAAGTGGTGAAAGAAGGAAGTAATAAGACGTTTTGATTCTGAAGACTGGCAGTGTTTTCAATGAGGTCTGACAACTCATTTTACTGCAGCGGATAGGGAGCCATTTGTTCCAATTTGAGGATTTTGGTCACGTAATGTTTTATCTGGCATTTTAATATTTGGACTTACTTTTGGAAAATGCAAGATTAAAAGCACAGTAGAACCTTTATATTCCAGTGAATATGATTTCAAATGACAGTCCTGCAATTATTTCTTCATATTCTTTAAAGGTTTACAACTTTCATTTAAAGCATTTTAATAATCTTCAGACTCACAGAAATTCACTTTCATATGTAACAGGATGGCCACCCTTTTCGGTGGCATTCTGGGTAAAACTCTGACACTGTGTCTCCAACCTGGGGGTCGGGACCCAACAAGGGGTCTGAGCAGTCTCGAGATGACACTTACTCTCTTTCTTGCTGAGAGTAAGATGAGACTCCCGTTTCTGTCTGGTGAATGTAAGGCTACAGCCAGCAGCCGGGTTTCTTTTTCAGAAATCTTAAACAATGATTAAAGAAAACTGTGGCGGGGTAATCTCTCTTTAATTGACCTGGTGCCAAGGGCCTGTTTAACAAAAGCAACTTGCGATCGCTGCTTTCACACAGTCAAATCACAAATGGTGGCAGTGTCATGTTTCACATATGACTGTTGCTCACACGTTTCAGATAATGTCACGCTCATTCATGGGTCACAGAAGTTGTTTGTGGGCTGGTAGTCATAACTTATAGACATATGCAACTGTGACAACCACACACCTACATGATTTCACTTTTTAAAAAGATTAGAAGTAAAAAAGAAACCACTGGCATATTTATTTGTGTTTTCATGTATGTAAATATGTCTACTCTTGTTTATATCAGTCAAGACAGACCGCTACTAACCCTGTCTGGAATGAGAGAGGGTTTATTTTAAACTTTATGTGCAAAAAATACTCAAGAGCTGAGTCATATTTGCAACAAACTAAATATTTACATTAAGCACTAATTTTGAAGCTTGAGCTGTTTGTAGCCTGTCTGTATAGCACCCTTTGTTTTGTCTCTCTGTTCCACCCTACCTATCTGGCTAGTTTTTTTCACACGCACACACGCACGCACGCACGCACACACATAGTTACAAGGGAATACAGCCTTTATATAGTGGGGTCCATTAGGTGTATTAGCTGGTGGTGAAAAGTGGTGCTGATGTGGTGCTTACAAAGCTCCACAGGGGAGATGGACATTTGATCTTCTATCTGACCCAATCTGACTCCTGGGCTCCTGTCTGATCTAATTTCTGTGTTGTTAGGAGTTAAAGTGGGGTAATTTTATCTGTGTTTTTCATTCTTTTGGGCAACATCTTTGGTGATGAGTGGTTATTGCTGGGGGTTTTTTTGTGCTAGGCTTTTTAGCCATCCTATTATAAAAAAAGAGAGTGCTGTAACCAAAGTAGGTGCTCTCAGGTAAATAATGAAAGCATATTCAGCGGCAAATTCCGCAGTAGCCACTTTATAGTTTTAACATTTCAAAGTGCCACAAGTTCTTAAGTGGCTGAGGCAGATCACACCATGTATTGCATGTTGTTGATCTGATCACAAGGGGCAAACCGAAAAGAAGTTTTATGTTTTACAGCGACAGCTCACTATTTTTCTTTTTAAACTGGAGGAACATTGCTCCAGATACTCACATTGAGGGTCAAAGATAAATTCAGCACACACAATCTTGCCTTTGAGGTTATTGGACTTTATGTGACCGCAGAGTCCCCTAATCTCGCAATAAGCTCCATGGATCGACCTGGTTTGAGTCCTAACCTTAGAGGGCTCTCTGGCCAGTCGTTTCTTATTATTTATTCACTGTCAAGACGGTGACAGGTCCAGGTCGAAGTTGAGGCCTGCTCGCTGCAGACACAAGTTGTCCAGGTTTGCACGAGCCGTGGGATGTCTTTGGAGGAAAAAAGGAGTCCTGGTTTTTCTCTTTGGTCTTTGCGGTGTAAACAGACATGTTGGCCAAACAGGATGACATCCCTGCACTCTGGCCGACAGTCACGATTGTCTGCCATTGATGTAAAATGTCACCTGAAATTGGTTGTGTTGCCTCGTGGAAAAGCATCTCCCTTTCCTTTTCTGCTCTAGCGCTTTTGTTTCCATCAACATCTCAGGGTCACCTCTTCAAAATAAATCGATTAGAGGTTGTAGCATTGTTAGTGGTGATCTGCATCTTTACAACTGATCTAATAGCTTTATCCTTATAATTATCCTTATCTTATTTTTAGTATTTTACACTACTGTGGTTATCAAAATAAAACTATTGCCATTTACCAAGTACTATATTACTGGTTTTGCATGTTTAAGCC